ACCGGCGCCACGGCCCCCAGTGCTGCAGGTTGTGCAGCCAGCTCTGCAGGTGCCAAAGACCCTGCTGGTACCACTGGTGTTACCCGCACCATGAATGTTGCCAGTGTCACCAGTGCTGAAGCCAGTGGGCTCATCTGTGGCACCTCATATCTGGCCTGCTGCGGCTCAGAGTCCAGCAAGGCTGAGACTCCCCGGGCTTGGGGGAGCGCGGCAAGTCCCCTCGCTCCGGAAGGGCGCGTGGTGGCTAGACAGACACGCTGGTGGGTTTTAAAACAGCCGGTTTGTCTCTCTAGCCACTGCACACCCCTGGCAGGGCAGGGACACACCGCAAGAGACTTTGCATGTTCGCCCCTGCCAAAGGCGCGCAGCAGCTAGAGATAAACACGGCTGTTTTAAAACAGCCGGCATCTCTCTAGCCACTGCGTGCTCTTGTGGGGGCAAGGAGACTTGGTGCTTTCCCCCTCACCCAGGCCCCGACTGGCCTGGAGATGGGGAAGTGGCAGGGCAGCCGCAGGCCAAATCCAGCTTAAGGAGGGCCCTTTGCCCACCTCTGCCATGGACACACTGAGCTCAACCGGTGTCTCAACGGACCGGGAGCCTCAGAACGCTGAGGGGGCAGATCTTCCACTGGACGCTTGTCCTGATGCCACCTGGTGACCTCCCCCCCTGCTGTCTCCTCTTCGTGGGCCCCAAAGATGGGGCCACGGAAAACCTGGGTGCCGCTGAGGTCTTGCGCATTGACGCAGACGCACTGTGCTCTCTTGGTGCCGGTTCCAGAGCCGGCTGCAGCGCAGACTCCATGGGAAGCAGTTTTAAGCGGAAATCGAGTTCCTGTTTAGTGTGGGGCTTGACCCTTCTGCTGATTTTGCAGGAATCTGTGAGGTGACCCTCCCCCAGGCACTTCAGACAAGAGTCCTGGGGGTCTCCACAGGGCATGGACTTTGAACATGTCGCACAAGATTTAAAGCCATGTGGACCTGGCATCCCCTCCCTGGGAGAGGAGAGAGAAGCGGAAAGACCACCGACACCAATTACTTAACTATTTACGCTATAAGAACAGTCAAAACTATCTACAAGCTAACTATACACATGCTGGGCAGGTAGAAAGCACGACGACGCTCCAGCTACCATCACAGGCAGCAAGAAGGAACCGAGGGCGGGCAGGGCCAGCAGGGGTATATATGCTCCAATATAGTGGCGCCACTCCAAGGGGCTCCCTGCTGGCCCAACGGGTACCGCTGGGGGAAAAAGCTCCGGAATCCAAGCACACAGCACGTGCACCCCGTTGGAATGGACATGAGCAAGCACTCAAAAAAGAAACACAACTTACATTTCTAAATACAGCAGACTTCCGATAATCCAGCACATTTGGGATCTAGGTGGTGCTGGGTTATCGGATATGCCGGAGTATTGGGAGGTACTCCTGCAGGGGGCTGTGACAGGTCTGCCGGGACCCGCACTGAGTCTGGCGCGGCGAGGGGCAAACCCTCCACCGTTCTGCAGGAAGGCAGGGGAAGCCCCGCACTGCCGCCGAGAGTTTCCGGAAGGGAAGCGGGCTCCCCACCATCCAGACTGCAGTAGTTATTGCCGAACAGGAGAATGAGGGGCAGCGCTGTGGGACCAACCCGGTAGCACCCCAGCTGCTCTGCTCTACAGCTACCCCAAGTCCGCCGCTCATAAGTTTCACCCCCCCTGCTCCGCAATAACCACTGCAGTCTGGGGGGTAGGGAGCCCGCTCCCGTCGCGGAAACTCTCGGCGGTGGCGTAGGGCTTCCCCTGCCTTCCTGCAAAACAGTGGAGGGTTCGCCCCTCGCCATTCCCCGCCCACCCCCCAGACTCAGTGCAGGTCCCGGCAGACCTGTCACAGGGGTATAATTCTGTTTCTCTTCCCAGCTGCGAGCACACATGGGGCTCACAGCAGCTCCAATTGTCTGGCTGGCCGGAGCACTTCCAGGTTCCAGTTGGTGCCGGACTATCAGGAGTGCTGGACCACTGGATGCCGGACAATTGGAGTTTTACTGTACAACTGAGTCAGGGGACCCAGTATAAGATGGCTGCAGCACCGTTCAGGGCTTTAGACTAAGGTCCAGGCTGCACTGCATACTACAGCTGTGTTATAGCCAGTTCCTCTAAATCCAGTCAAGTATACAGTGTTGCTGAGCCCTAAGGGACTTTGTGCTCTCCTTAATTATTCAACCAGTGCTTGCTCTGCTGATAGGTGAAACACTAACTCCCCCTTGGAGTCTCTAGAAGCTGTTCCACCAGCTACAGGAAGCCTATTAAGTTTCCTTTTCTTTTAAGGAAAGTTTTGATGACAGGATATTCCATTCTCTCTGCCCCCAACTAGACGGTGTCACCAGATGAATGTCCAAGACACGAAAGTTCCATGCATTGAACGGCACTCCATAAAACACACCAAGTTGCAAAACTTTAAGGCCAATAGCTGTCTGGAACTTACCAGCAATCCAGCATGGAAGCTGACTCCAAGAAGCCCTGAGCACGGCAGTGACACGGATTGCTAGACTGAAAACTTCCCTGTTTTCACACTAAATGCCAATGGGCAATTAAGGCATCCAAAAAGTTACATTCAGGGAGCCTACACTTATCTGTCGATGGGGGAAGGAGAGAGTGGTCTTACTTTTTGATGCAGTTGGTCATGAGAAGGTGGACATCCTGTCTCTCATCCAGTAGCAGCATGGCACCTAAGTACCCAATGCGCTTGTCTGTGAATTTCTGAGAGGCAATAAGTTTGAGGCACTCCAACTGCAAAACAAAACCAAATAGATCAGTATAACTCAGACCCCCGTGCTGATCAGTGACCGTTTGCATTTGCACAGTATCTTCCATCCAAGGGCAGCAAAGTGACAATGTAGTGAGCATTATCCCCATTGAAAAAGGAGAGAGAAAAGCAACTTGTGCCCTCCCAAGCTCTCAGCAAGTCAGAAGAGGAGCCAGGAAAAATGCTCAAGTCTCTTGAAGTAGCTACCAGACCATGCTGCCTCTCATGATTATGAAATTCTCAAAGTGTACTGCAAATGCATGGCCATGAACTAAAAGAATGATACAGAAGTCATCAGTAAGTGCAAAAGGGATAATCACTTATTTTTCAATCACATCTGCAAGCTCCAGGGGTTACCAACCAGGGATGTTAGATATTGTGTAATTATAACCACATGAAATCTTAGCAGTTACATGACTATTCGATAGTACCTGGGGGCGGGGCTAGCAGCCAGTGCGCTCTGCCCCATTCTCAGGGAGACCCCTACCATCCCGCGCTGCCAGACGGAGCCAGTCCATGAGGGGAGCCACTTCAAAAACCAGCACCCTGTGCAGGCCAGGAGTCCACCGCCCCTGCTGCGGCAATGTGAGGTGGCACCAGCCCCTCTCCGCAGGAGGTCTGAGCTCCCTGCAGACAGAGGCTGGCCCACGGCAGCCTCCCCTGCCATTCCACACAGAGGGGTGGGGAGATAGTGGAGGGGGCTTTTAAGTTAGCTCCCCCCAGCACCAGCTCCTCCCTGTCCCCCTCACTGTGTCTAAGAGGCAGCGAAGGGAGGACAGGCAGGTGCACAGAACTGGCTTGCACTGAGAGCCAGATTCTTGCACCTATCGGCTCCAGCCTGCTGGCCCCTCACCCTCTGCATTGCTGCCTCTCTATCAGCAGCAGCGCAAGCGGGGAGAGGACAAGCGGATCCAGTATTCCCCAAGAGCACCTGTTCCTGATACAGAGGCAGCAAGGGGGAAAGCATGTGTAGTCGACAAGGTTAACTGGTAAGCCCAGGCTTATCGGTTAATCATGTAGTCGACTACACTTGCACATCCCTATTACCAACTGACATTACACACAATTATGGGCCACAGTTTCTCCCCCACTTTTGGAAAGAATTATTGAAACTCCTGGAAATTATCCTATGCATTTCCACTGCCTACCACCCCCAGACCAATGGGCAAACAGAATAGAAAACCCAAATTCCCGACCACCACCTTTGTTGCTTTATCAAGTACCATCAAACAATTACGATCACAAATCAACCCGCCAAAGCCCCTTCTATTCCAATTATGGCTTCTGCCTCCTATTTCATCCATTTGTGCCACCAGCCTTCCATCGATCTGTGCCCTGCAGCATCAAATTTGGTTGATCACCTCCATTGCATTCAAGAGGAATTAAAATCACACTTAAACTTGGCTAAGGAGAACTACAACAGATACGCTGACTTTCATCAACAGGACCATGCTCCCATGACAGTTGGACTCAGAAGTTAGACATCTCCTGACCCTCAAGGAAATTAGATCACTGTTACCGTGACCCATTCCAGATCATTCAAACAGATTAACGCAATGGCCTTCAAGCTGCAGCTGTCCCATACCAAATACATCCAGAATTCCAGGTTTCTTTATTAAAGAAATATTTGGGCAACTCCTTTCCTAGTTGTACAAAAGCATGCTCATGCCTCCATACCTCATCTTGGTTCAGGGTTAGGGAGAACACGTACTAAGACTGATCCCGGACTCTGAGTTCCTCAGAGGATGACTGCTGTATCCCATGGACTGGGAAGGGTATGGGTCAGCTGTCTTTGGGAACTGGCCAGTAATATACATGTACCTAGCCTCCTTCATGAATTCCATCAATTGCACCCCACCACGCCAGATTGAAAAACATTGGGGAAATGGCTTGGGAAGAGGTTAATGGAAGGTAATGAGCAAGGTTGCCTCTAAGCTGCATGAAAGCGGTTATGTTTCCTCACAGAGCATGTCTAAACTACATCCCTCTTTCGAAAGAGGGATGTAAATTAGACAGATTGAAATTGCAAATGAAGCTGGGATTTGCAACAATGAATAATACAGGATCTTTCGAAAAAGGGTTTTTTTCCCCTGAAAGAACCGTGTCTAGACAGCGGTTTCACTTTCAAAATCCCCATTTTCGAAAGAACACGCAGCTGCCATTATGCAAACAAAGCATGGGAAATTCAAATCCCGGCTTCATGTGCAATTTCCATCTGTCTAATTTACATCCCTTGTTCGAACAAGGGATATAGAGTTTAGACATAGCCATAGTGTTCTCTCTTCAGACTAAAACTCAGTTCTTGCAGTCTTCCCTTATAACTCATGTTTTCGAGACCTTTAATCATCTTTGTTGTTCTTCTCTGGATCTTCTCCAACTTCTCCACATCTTTTTTGAAATGCGGTGGCCAGAACTAGGCCCCAGTTGAAGTACTGTGTCCAACCAGCACAGAATAGAGCAGAAGTATTATTTCTCTTGCCCATAACACTGCTGTTAATGTAACCCAGAATCATGTTTGTTTGTTTGTTTGTTTTGCAAAGAGTAAAGGAATGTTGGGATATGTAAAAAATTAATAGGGGTCAGCCCCAGCAGGCACTGCCCTTTAAACATGTTTTTCTTCTTTGTCCTGGCAGCCTTAAAAAATGGTTGCGCAGAATAGGATCTTGTTTTAACTTCGCACTTGTTCTGTAAAAACACTTTCGATGTCAAAGCTCTTTCCTCCTCCCTATAAGCTGCTGATTAAAACAGCAGGTAATGCTGATTTAATTAAAAACCAGTAAACAATAAACGGGGTGGGTATAATTGTATTAATCACCTGCTTTTTAATATTCATTATATGAAAGTTAACATTACTAAAAAAGATTTTAGGAAAAGTAGTAATGAATGAGTAAATTAACATACTAAAATAAAGGGTATAATTGGTGGCAAATGCTTGCCACTCGGAACGTTGTGTTAAATGTCTGAGGTAAACGTGCATGGGCAATAAAGCAGTGCCGTTTACTCCATGTGCGCTGCTGGGTCACCTGTTTCTTCTCTAACAGTTGCCACTTGGTTGACTCCTATTTAGCTTGTGGTCCTCTATGACCCTTAGATTCCTTTCTGCAGGACTCCTTCCTAGACAGCCACTTCCCATTCGGTACATGTGAAATGGATTGTTCCTTCCTAAGTGGAACACTTTGCATTTGTCTTTATTGAACTTCATCCTATTTACCTCAGACCATTTCTCTAGTTTGTCCAGATCATTTTGAATTATGTCCCTCTCCTCCAAAGCACTTGCAACCCCTCCCAGCTTCGTATCATCTGCAGACTTAATAAGCATAACTCTCTATGCCAATATCTAGATCATTGATGGAAAAAAGGCTGCAAAACTCCAAGAGTCACAAACCACAGTTTGAGAACCAACAGGAGGGTGGGGGGAGAACCTCGAAGGAGGAGCTGAGGGGGAAAAAAACCATCTCAAGCCATCCCTGTTTGAGAGCCAGTTCTAAAGAAACAATGAAGTGACCATAACACAGCATACTGGGATTTCTCTCCAGACATGAGTTGATGTGAAATGTTGAAATGCTAAAATTCACCCTGAGAAATAACTGGCAAATTCCAGTCATGTCAACACCAACTGGCTTTGTGCAAAGCTCTATTCAGTAACACGACCAGGCTAAAGCTCTCCCCTGAGCTAATGAACGCAAGAAACCTTGACACCAGCATATCCATTTCATTTCAAGGAAAGAAAGATTCTGCTTTCCTTTTCTAACTGATGTCAGCAAAGCAAGACACTTGGGTAGACTTGGAAGTAGGTAACTCTGCCTTTCACTTTCTCTGGCACCTGTCCCATGTTAGTCTGTTTTGTTTACCGCCCCCCCAGCACTAATCCCAACCCTCCAACCGACAATGCCTGACACCAGCATATCCATTTCATTTCAAGGAAAGAAAGATTCTGCTTTCCTTTTCTAACTGATGTCAGCAAAGCAAGACACTTGGGTAGACTTGGAAGTAGGTAACTCTGCCTTTCACTTTCTCTGGCACCTGTCCCATGTTAGTCTGTTTTGTTTACCGCCCCCCCAGCACTAATCCCAACCCTCCAACCGACAATGCCAGGGGGAGGCGTCGGGAGGGGGGGGGGGGGAGGGAGAGCAAAGGGGAGCATGGTCCAGCAGGGAGCAGAATGGGTTAAGAAGAGGCTGGGCAGGGCCTATGGGGAAGGTATAGGGGGGAAGGGCTTGGGCACAACAGGGAGTAAAGCAAGCTTCCCCTCTTCCTGGCACAGCAGAAAGGCAGCCCCTTTGCTTACCCTTACATAGGCCCTACCCTGGTCTCTTGATGGTCAGAAATTGGCTTAAGCCCTGAACCCAAGGTTAATAGGTTTTAACATCAGAACAGACTATTAGATCATTTGGTCTGGGCAGAGAATTTCAACTGCTCCACTGTGCCTTATGTTAACATCTTTCAACATTTCTCCTTAATTACAACTCGGCTATTCCTGATAGCTATACAAATATCCAGCCCCTTTTTGGAATCTTGTTAAGTTCTCAAACAGCATGAATTCCACAATTTAGCCCAACTGCTTGGTTACATGCAGTAATAATATGACTAGGGTGTGAACAGAACAAGATGTAAATAAACTTGTTCTGATACAATGGCTACAACTTCCTGAGATATATATCCTTTTGCCCTGGGAGAGGAAATCATAGAACCCTAGGGCTGGCAGCGACCTCAGGAGTCATCAAGTCCAGCCCCCTGCCCAAAGCAGGACCAGCCCAACTCAATCATCTCAGCCAGGGCTTTGGCAAGCCAAGAATTAAAAACCTCTAGAGATAGAGATTCCACCCCCTCCCTAGGGAACCCATCCCAGGGCTTCCTCACCCTCCTAGTGAAATAGTTTTTCCTAATATCCAACCTAGACCTCCCCCACTGTAACTTGAGACCATTGCTCCTTGTTCTGCCATCCGTCACTACTGAAATATACCACCCAGCTTCAGGATTGATCATGTCACGTTTAGGCGGACAGTCTGCTCTCACTCCCTGATGCCGCCACTTGTCTAACAACATCACAGCACTTTGGAATTTGGCTCTGCTGGGATGTGTTTACTGCACCATGTAACATGGTGGTGGTTTCAAATTCGATCAAGGATGAATTTATGCCAGAAGCACAAAGCACCCTCAACGATGCCCCCAGCATGCCTGGTTTTGAAAGTCTCAGAGGGTCGCCTTGTTAGTCTGTAACCGAAAAAACTTAAAAAATAATGAATGGTCCTGCAGCACCTTAGAGATGAACAAAACATGTCAATGGCATCACGAGCTTTCAGAGGCACAACCCACTTCTTCAGAGGAAACAGATGGTTTGTTAAATGTAGTTATGTCAGCAAGCACTGAGCCATGTTCAACAAGACATGTACTGGTATGACCATTTTGTCACGGTGCTGAAACAGCTCCAACCAAAAGCGTTCTACAGAACAGTAACTTCCCCCTTCCATTGTCCCTCATCTAAACTACACCTCATTTCAGCCCATGATTAACCAGTAGAACTCTGCCACACAACATAAGCCAAGAGCTTAAGATAATTACAAAATAATTAGACATGTACATGATTGATAAACTCTGAGTCACATTAGTTAGAAAAAAAGTTTAACAGTATTTCTGTTTCAGGACACAAACCACCCACTACCCATCTGGAGTTATGTTGTAACTTCCTAGATACGCAAATGAATGCCTATTTGCTGATTAGGGGGTTTCATATTAGGGATGTGAATGCTTTTCGGATAGTCAACAGGCTAGTTACCTCCCCACCCTTGCTGCCTCTATCAGAAAGAAGCAGCAAAGGGGGGGGAAAGCAGGGGGTGCTTCCAAGTGGCAGGGCCACATGGAGCCTGGGCAGACACCCAGGCTTCACGTGGCGCTACCGCTTTGAAACACCGCGTGCAGCCCAGGGCCAGCTGAGTTGTCCCAAGGCTGCATGCGGCGTTTCAAAGCGGCAGCTCAGCGTGCAGCTAGGGACTCCCTTGCTGACCCCAGGCTCTGTGTGGCGCTGCCGCTTTGAAAAGCTGTGGGAAACTTGGGAGCACCGTGCTCCTCACGGCTGTTGCTACACTTCAAAGGCAGAAGTGCCCTATTGACTAATCCAATCATTGATGTAAATTGCATAAGAACATAAGAACGGCCGTACTGGGTCAGACCAAAGGTCCATCTAGCCCAGTATCCTGTCTGCTGACAGTGGCAGCACCAGGTGCCCCAGAGAGGGTGGACCGAAGACAATGATCAAACGATTTGTCTCCTGCCATCCCTCTCCAGCCTCTGACAAACAGAGGCCAAGGACACCATTTTGTCCCCTGGCTAATAGCCTTTTATGGAACTAACCTCCATGAAATTATCTAGCTTCTCTTTAAACTCTATTATAGTCCTAGCCTTCACAGCCTCCTCTGGCAAGGAGTTCCACAGGTTGACTACACGCTGTGTGAAGAAGAACTTTCTTTTATTAGTTTTAAACCAGCTACCCATTAATTTCATTTGGTGTCCTCTAGTTCTTCTATTTAGGGAACTAATAAATATCTTTTCTTTATCGGCCCTCTCCACACCACTCATGATTTTATAGACCTCTATCATATCCCCCCTCAGTCTCCTCTTTTCTAAACTGAAAAGTCCCAGTCGCTTTAACCTCTCCTCATATGGGACCCGTTCCAAACCCCTAATCATTTTAGTTGCCCTTTTCTGAACCCTTTCCAAGGCCAAAATATCTTTTTTGAGATGAGGAGACCACATCTGTACACAGTATTCAAGATGTGGGCGTACCATAGTTTTATACAAGGGCAGTAAGATATTCTGGGTCTTATTTTCTATCCCTTTCTTAAGGGATGAACTAGTCGATTAGCCAATTAACTGAAATTTAACATCCCTATTTCATATCCCCTAAATTGGTACTTGCCAGTTGCCACCATCAGACGAGTTATCGAGCTAGATGGATTACTGGTCTGATCCAGTCTGTACATTCTCACGAACACAGTTTGAGATTAGGATGTTAAAACGCACTCATTCTTTTAAGGTGGCTCCCTGCAAGCACCAGCTCCCATTTTTCATCCCCCAACCTCATGCCATGCTGCCTCTGCAGACTGCTCCACAGGAGCTGGAACGCACAAGGTGCTGGCTTAAAAGCTGGCATGTACAAGCTCCTGCCTCCCCCCCCCACACTGCCATCTCTGATACAGAGGCAGCAAAGAAGATGGGCTGCATGTAACCAAAAGGGTTAACCGTGTACTCAGCTACACGTTCATATTCCTAGTTTGAGAACCACTACTGTACAGCAATCACCATACCCAATTACGAGGCAGTACCGCAGGCTGGACATTTTCATGGAATTCAGGACAATTTTATACAAGCCTTGACTAAGGGGGGACAGATTCCAATTAGAATACAGACCATTAAGATGGGCAGGATAAACTTGCCCACATGAAGAAAAATACAAACAGATTCCAAAAGAAACTAAATCATCCTGAACAGAAGACAATAAAAACAGTGAGGAGAGGAGAGGAGAGGAGAGGAGAGGAGAGGAGAGGAGAGAGAGAAAAAGCAAGCACACGCTTGGAAAATAAAGGGCAACAGGTATTGCAGCTGGGGATGTAACTGTTTTAATACATATTTAACCAGGTAAACAATTAAAATTATACCATTTAACCAGTTAACAGTAGGTAGGCGGCACAGGGCAGGTTAGGTCTGCCACGTGTGGTGGGGACTGCTCCAGACCAGCCTGCCCACCGTGAATGGGGCTGGGGTCGTTCCAGAATGGCAAGAGCCTCCTTTGCCCTCCTAACATGGCCAGGGCTGTGTTGTACGGTATGGCAGGAGCCAGATTCATGCCTGTCCACTGTGTGACTGCGGCCCTGCTTGCAGCCTTGACCAGCCTGCCAAAGGTGTAGGCAGGGTCCCACCAGGAGCTGCTCCAGCCTGACATAGTTGGCCATACACCGGGGTTTGGACAAGGCCCAGGTAACCGGTAAGCATTCCAGTAGGCCTAAAGGTTATCAGTAACTGGTTGAACTTTTACATCCCTAATTGTAACTGAGTTCCAGTCAACGTTACCTGTCCAAAATGCGCAGGATACCCCAACATGTGCATGTACAGCAGTTTTGCCACATTCCGGCAGCGGTATGTATTATCCTCTTCTCTAAAAGATGACCGGATGGCAGCACATTCTTTCTGAATCATTTCACGCTCTTCTGCTTGGGTTCGTGCTGTCCGGATGGTCCGGATCAGCTCCCGCAATCTGATGGGGGCTGGCATCCTCTGGGAGAGGAGAGAGAGAAAAGAAATGAATGTGTAAAACCTGTATGACAAAAGGAAGCCCTACAGCTCTCTCAGCTTTCAATATGGAAGAGTTTAAAAAAGGAGTGGTCCTGTAGCACCTTAGAGACTAACAAAAAAATCTATATAGTATGACGAGCTTTTGAGGGCACAATCACTTCTTGTCCTCCTTACCTATAGCTATAAAGAATGGAGAGGATCAGAAAATCCACTGCTGGTCCTAAGCACGCCACTATCACCAACCAAGAAAAAAATTTTCAACTAAGGCAATTAATTGTGGCCTTCTTACAAAGCTGGATCTCAGGCCTGCTGGTCCCCTTTCACAACCACCGTAGGCCAAATGCTATCAATCAGGCAGGCTACTGGGAGAACAAATCATACACAACCACCAGCGCACACCATTGCACCATCTCATACTATCCAACCTCTGCACTCTCTACTGGATTATTCATTTTTAGAGCCCTACAAATCTGCTGATGTGGATGTGAATATTCGCAACTTATTTTTTACAGATGCAGATACATATTTTGTATCTAGAACCCTGCAGCGCACTTTTGCAGATACTGAGGCGGATGTGGATACAAATTGTGTATTTGCACAGGGGTCTGTTAATTTTATCATGAGTTTTCCCTGGTGCTCATCACCACTGTATCTGAGTCTAACAAAAAGTGACTATTGTGTAACTCTCTTCAGGTGAGATAGAATAAAATCTCCCTTCTAAAAATCCAGAGTAGGACTCTGCAATTTGTCAAATGCCACACAGCAAATCGGTGGCAAACATCCTGACTCCCAACCGTCGAGTCCCACAATATTCTTGCCAGCAAGTTAAGGGAATGTGGATTGGATAAATGGACAGTAAGATGAATAGAAAGCTGGCTAGCAGGCCGGGCCCAGCAGGTAGTGATCAACGGCTCGATGTCAGGATGGCGGTCGGTTTCTAGCGGAGTGCCCCAAGGTTCGGTTCTAGGACCGATTTCGTTCAATATCTTTATTAATGACCTGGATGAGGGGATGGATTGCATCCTCAGCAAGTTTGCAGATGACACTAAGCTGGGGGGAAGAGGTAGGTTCAGTTCAGGGCAGAGATAGGGTCTAGAGTGACAGACAAATTGGAGGATTGGGCCACAAGAAACCTGATGAGGTTCAACAAGGACAAGTGCAGAGTCCTGCACTTGGGACGGAAGAATCCCAAGCATTGTTACAGGCTGGGGACCAACAAGCTAAGTAGTAGTTCTGCAGAAAAGGACCTGGGAGTTACAGTGGATGAGAAGCTGGATATGAGTCAACAATGTGCCCTTGTAGCCAAGAAGGCTAATGACATATTAGGTTGCATTAAGAGGAGCATTGCCAGCAGATCCAGAGATGTCATTATTCCCCTTTATTCGGCTCTGGTGAGGCCACCTCTGGAGTATTGTGTCCAGTTTTGGGCCCCCCACTACAAAAAGGATGTGGACGCATTGGAGAGGGTCCAGTGGAGGGCAACCAAAATGATTAGGGGGCTGGAGCATATGACCTATGAGAAGAGGCTGAGGGAGTTGGGTCTGTTTAGTCTGCAGAAGCAAAGAGTGAGGGGGGATTTGATAGCAGCCTTCAACTTCCTGAAAGGAGGTTCCAAAGAGGCTGGAGAAAGGCTGTTCTCAATAGTGACAGATGGCAGAATAAAGAGCAATGGTCTTAAGTTGCGGTGGGAGAGGTCCAGGTTGGATATTAGGAAAAACTATGTCACTAGGAGGGGGGAAGCACTGGAACGGGTTCCCTAGGGAAGTAGGGGAGTCTCCATCCCTAGAGGTGTTTAAGTCTCGACTTGACAAAGCCCTGGCTGGGTTTAGTTGGGATTGGTCCTGCTTAGAGCAGGGGGCTGGACTTGATGACCTTCTGAGGTCTCTTCCAGCTCTATGATTCTGGATCACATGCACTGAGCATTCAAAGCTTCCGACTCATTCAGCTGCAGCTGAGAGTATTCAGAACATCAGAGCCCAGCTGATTGCAGTTGGGCAGCAAGAAGATGAAGAACACACAGTTAGCAGATAACTGTCCAAGTGTTGCCTTAGCACCTCGCTCAGTATCGCGGAGCAGGTCTGTAGCACAGCCAGGAACAGAACCCAGCTCTCCAGGACAGCATTTCAGCTAGGGATGTGAAAGGCTAACCGATGAGCATCACCCTAAACAGGTAATGCTCTACCAATTCCGGTTAACCTGTAGGGACTGGAGCAGCTCCCCGCCCCGTACCTTACACAATGGATCCCTGGGAGTGGGACGGCAGGGGAACCAGCCGCAGAGCCTCCTCCCAGGGAGCAGAGCCAGCAGCTTCTGCCAGCTCTGCTCCCAGGGAAGGCTCTGCTCCTGGGGAGGAGGCTTCCCTGCGGGCTCTGCAGGGTGCAGCTTATCTAGGCTGTGTACTGCTGAGCCAGCGGCGTGGAACCAAGAGGATTTTAAGCGGTTACTAGGCTACCTTATTAAATACATTTTGACATCCCTAACTTCAACTGCTTTACACACAAGACCATCCTCTCTCTTCCAGACGTCCCTTGCTTCAGCCTCTAGACCCGTGGTCACCAACCTGTCAATTGCGATCGACTGGTCGATCCTGGGGGCCCGACCAGTCGATCGCGAGGCTTTTTTTTGGGGGGGGGCCCTCACTGCCCCCACCCCCAAGATGAATGCCGCGCTGATGCTACCTCCAGGAACAACGGAGGTAGCGCGGGCTCCCAGCAGGGTGCGGAGACTTCTGCAGTCACAGGCCTGATACCGGAAGCGCGCGGGCTGCTCTTCCTCCCCCCCCCGAACAGCCGGAGCGGTACCTACAATGACAAAGGCATGCGCTGGGGACTTCGTTCCCCTGCTGCCTTCCTGAGCGCAGTGAAGGGGTCGGGTGTCCGGGACTGCGTGGCTCTGGCTGCTCAGGCAGTGCGTGCTGCCGCAGGGAGGGGAGGAGTAAGGCGCAAGCTTCGCGAGCAGTTACAGTTGGCGTGAGCTAGGACTTTCCCTCTCCCGCACAGGCAGGCAGCAGGGGAATGAAGTCCCCAGAAGTAAGCCCCCAGCGCGCGGGCTCCAGCTGCTCAGGAGCTGGGGTGCTGGGGATTTTATTCCCCTACTTCATGCCTGTGGGAGAGGGGAGTGGGAACAGGGAGTCCCAGACCACACCAGTCCCAACCGCTTGGGCAGCACGCCCATTGGCCCCAACTGACTTTTCTGTGCATCAGTGACCCCAGACTCAAAACAGGTTTCTTGCCCTTCTCAGAAATAAAGACAATGCAGAAGCTTTTTGTTTTTGACACAGTATTTTGTTTAAAAATGAAGCCTGGCCAACAAACCCCCAATTGGGGCCAAGCCCCATCTGCCCACGCCACAGAGCACCAAATGTAGGTAATTCACCTGAAGGAACTTTGTAGGATAGAAAAGAGGAGAATACTGGCACTTTGGGTTCATCTCCCTGCCATGGGAACACATGGGTGCTATCTGAGCAAAGTGTCTGCCCATGGCATGAAGTGGTTTGTATGTCCACCAAGGTAGGCCTCAGCCCCACCACTCCTCATTTTTTCAGAGCTCGGCTCTCTTAACCCCTGCAGAGTTGGCCAAAATAGTTCAAATTTTGAAATGCAGACGAGGTTTTGTATTTACATCAAAGTGTCAAGTAAAAGAAAGAGAAAATGAAAAATGTTAAGTTTTTCAGGATTCCAGAGATATTCCCAAAAAATTCTTCTGCATCCAGGGATGCGTTTGTTCTTCCGCTTTTTTTAGTGGAAGAGCAAATGTGCTCTTTCAGTAACCCCTATATTCCTCTTTCCACGAGGAATAAGGGGTTTTTCTGACATTTGGTCCAGTCTAGACAGGCCAAATGTTGGAAAAACCTCTTCCTACAGAAGAATTGGGGAAAAAAGCAGCAGGATAAGGGTTGGGGATAGCAAGTGATGGAGAGGAGGAGAA